ATTGAATAAAAGCTAAATCCCTTTGTTAATCTTGTGTTAATACTAATTTTCAGTCGTTAGTATCGTAAGATAACAATTTAGTGCAGGTTAGGTGAAATAAAAACCAATCTGACAAATTAAACGTATGTGAAGGATACTTAAACAATTAATAGTAGCTGTAGGACCTATTCTCCTTCAACTCCAGCTGCGAGTCGCTGAGATTCAATTCCAGCATAAATCATTAGAGAACGAAGAAATTATTTCAATCAATCGTTTTAAATGTTTACAAAGCAACATTAACGACCTAAAACATTTTATTGAATTTTATAAGATTAAGGCCACGTGAGACGAATTAGTATTTAGTGACGACTACTTTGACAACAAATCTCAATAAATCTGGAGGAATCTAGCACTGATCATATCACTGAAAAACAATATTTACTAACCGTCCAACAACACATAGCTGCTTATAAGAAACTTGAAGATCATAAAATCTCATTTATTACCCATTTAGAACAATTCTGCCTACAGTGTTATCCAGACTATAAAACTCAATCAGGAAAACTATCATCTTTTGATAATTTTTGGTTTCTGTAGATTGTACCTAAATATAACGCTATATCATATACTACCTTTATTGTAGCATATTTTATAAGGGCCCAAGAGAGTGAGGCTAGCTTTTTGGAAAGAGATCACTTATTGAAATATTTGTTGAGAAAAATTGTTACTACAATTAGATATAGGGATAACATACTAAAGGAATTCTTTAATAGCATTGCTGATAAATTATATCAAATTTGGGTAAAAATAAAACAGTTTCAATCATGAGAAATTGAAAGTATTAGCAATACCGACTCAATTATAAATAGCAATTGTAGTAATATCTCAGAAAATATGAAAAGGGATCAAAATGATACTATTATAGCTCCTTTTCAGGGAAGCAATGAAAGTTCCCTAGGGATGACACTACCAGTAGCAATGTATGGATCACCATCAGGAACTACCATACCTCAACCACCATCTAATATACCATCATATGTACAACCACGACAACCATATCTGGGAGATAGGAGGCAATATGACGAAGAAGAAAATGATATATATGCCCCTGATTATGAACAAAATATCCTATTTGAATATGTTAATGACGATGATGAAACATTACAGGAAACATCTTTCTTTGACAATACAAATGAATTAAAGAGAGGAGGAACCCCAAGTAGAATACCTCGAAGAGTTACATTTAATACAAGTAATGATAGGAGATCTCTATCCTCTGTTAGGGTAGAAAATGTTCAACAATTAGTAGCCTCAACATTATCCAGTAATCAATCGTCAAGGCCATCAAATTTAAGGGTAACAACTCCATCGGTAGGAAATACAAATAGTGGATCATCATTGGAAAATCCCTACAATTTTTCCCAAGCAACTCAATATAGTCATATATTTGACCCCTTAGCACCACTTAATCCTCTCTGAAATAGCAACTCACTAGTTTTACAACCGCAAACTGGCAACCAGTAAATAACCGTTAGCTTGAAAGTAACTCAAGTAATAGAGGAAATAATACAATGGAACATCAAAATGTAACTACCAAAAGAACTCCACAGTCAACAACAGTAGTCCAACCATATAATATGCGACCACTATCAAACTTCTGAAGGGTAGTTCTTGATTAACCAGCACAACAACTTCTCAGTCAGTATCTAGCAGTCAACCATCAAATAATATAAACACCTCTCAGCCAATACTTACACCTTAACTAGCTATAGTACCAGTAGGAGGAAACAATGACAATGCCTACCTCCAAGTTATACAAGGGCTAGCAGGATGGCTTCAAGGACAACAAATAAGAGAACAATGATTGGTAGATTTACCAACATTTAGAGGAGAAAATCCAGGACCCAGTGGAGTGACTTGAGGTTTTCGAACGAGCTTGTAAAGCAAACTGTATCAATACTACTCGAATAGTTAAAATAATTCCCAGTTATTTAACAGGAACAGTACTGACATGATTCCAACAACAATATGTTACTAACTGGAATAGTAGGATCAATCCCAGTACTTTCTTTGTACCATTATTTGAACAACATTTCTGCAATGCATTTCGACAAAATCAATGGAAGCATCAGCTTAGGCATAGGACACAGAAACCAGGTGAAATGATTGAGGAATATGCAGTAACAATAGGAGAACTATGGAAGTGAGTCGACCCACAGTATAGGCAAGCTGAGATGGATAGAGTTGCTGAATTTATTGAAGGGCTGCAACCAGAATTTATAATACCAGTATAAACAGCAATGCCAACAACAGTAGATCAAGCAATTGAAAAGGCCAGAGCAGTAGAATCTGCATATTCCATTGGAATGGAATTATCTACCTATTCATTGATACCTAATTACATGCAATTATTATAAGGAGGAATGGTATCAGCTCGCACAAGTATAGCAATGCAACCTACATATATTATACAGTAACCAGATATTGAAGGCACTATTAATCGCAAACTGAATGAAGGGTTATAAGCGATTATAGCAAATATTGGACAACAGCAGCAACAACAACAATAGCAGCAGCAACAGCCACAACAACAGTCATGTGAATATTTTAAGTGTGGAAAATTTGGACACTTGTTTAGAGATTGTAGAAGTAATCGATATATGAATAATGACCAATTAAATATTGAATGCTTTAACTGTAAGAAGTATGGCCATTTCGCCAGAGATTGCAGAAGTACAAACAATAATAAAGGTCGAAACTTTCAAAATGATAACAACAGAAATCATAACCGCAGTAATAGCAGGAATAGGAATTATAGAAATAATAATAAAAATAATAATTACAATAATAACAGTAATAATAATAATAACTAACAGCATTTAAACTAAAAGTCACACCTCATAGGGATGAGTGTGCGAACAAACCAAAGCCCCTAAAAGTGAAAAAAAAGGAAGAAGCAAAAGAGAATAGTCGAGGCGAAGCAAAAACAAAAGCAAGTTTAATAGAAGTACCTTATGTATGTAGAGGAATGAATTCAAAAATGTGATTCAGTGGACCATATGAAAACAAATATGATCACTCTAGTTGTAGAGATTATGACCACCATAATCATATTATATGCACAAATTGTAATAAAATTGCTAAAGGAATAGCAGCACGATGCGAATGTAAGGAAGTAAAATGAAAGGATCCACTAACTGATGAAAGGATTTTCAGTAAAAATCAGCCAATTAAACCAGTAGATCTCCAATAACAAGGAGAAGTTACTGTTAAAAAGAGGCTGAAGTATGTGTTAGGGATCTTATATGATGACAAAGGAATCTATCTTTCAAAACGAATTGACGTAAATAAGAAAATGTATAACTTATGGCAAACAGTTAGTAGAAAGGTTGAATTAGGAGAATCATCAATAAGGACTATGATTCGAGAAATTGATGAAGAAACTGGAATACAATTAGATGAAGATCGCTTAGAATACATCTTAAATGATCCTACATATAATTGTGACATATATAAAGTAAAGCTAAATAAAGAAATACCTCAACATACTGAACCTATCAAATATAGCAATTGGCAACATTTTGAGTTTGATGAATATTTACAAATGGCTGGTCTAAATGAACTAATACTAATGCATAATAAATATGGAGAACTTTTCATATCTAAATTAAAGGAACATATTATTACTAGTAATATAGCACATGATGAACCTATCAAGGATGCATTGTTTATTGAAGCCCAAGTGGAAGGATACCCTGTAAATGCTCTAGTAGATACTGAATCTGTAGGAAGTATCATTATTCAGTGATATCTTAGGCAAATCAATAAGGAAATTGATGAACCTGTAAAAACAAAAATCATGGGAGTGGATGGAAAAACTATGATGCCTTTAGGAATAATTAAAAGAGTTACAGTAAAAGTTAATAGAATAACTGTTAACGAAGATATGCTAGTAACCAATGCTATGGAATATAATATTATTTTAGGAAACACTTAGTTGCAAAAAGTTCGCGCAATTATTGATTATTATACTGGCATTCTAGTCATACAACAAGGAGATCAAACTTCTATGACACTTATAACTCGTATGCAGGACATACATCCAGGAAGATTTATACCAATCAAGCCTAAAATAACAGTAGATGAATTAGAATTTGAAGAGGAGGAAGATATCGATATTCAACAATGTTTTGCTATTGTTTCCAAAAAAAAAGAGGAAGTAATCCAAATAAATGGAAAGGAATATCCTGAAATATACTTACAACAAATTGAATATGAAATGGATGTACAACAAAATAGAAATTGGATGGGATCGACTACATGTTGGTGTTTGAAAAATTTGGGAAATGAAGGCCAATGTGATGACTGTAAAGAAATTGTAAGGACAGTACAAACTTATCAATACTATAGAAATAGTATAGATCTATAAGCTGCCTATAAAGTTCAGATAAAAGAGAATGATATTTGAGTAGAAATTGGTAATGATTCAGAAAAATATACAACCTGTGGAAAATTAAAAGATGCTTCTTTGAAACAACTAAAAGCATTTCTTAAGAAAAATCTTAATAGTTTTGCAACCACAATATAGGAATTAACACATTCAGAGCAATATGAATATTGTATATTTACTAAAGATGTATCACCAGTTGCACTAAAATCATATCGAACGTCAGTAAAAGATGATCAGTATATTCAGCAGGAAATTTAAAATATGTTAGATCAAGGAATTATACGATCTTCTCAAAGTCAATGGAGCTCACCTGTAGTTCTTGTAAGAAAAAAGAATGAAAAAATGAGATTCTGCGTAGACTATAGGAAATTAAATGATGTAATAATAAAGGACCGATATCCCTTGCCAAGGATTGATGAATTATTAGAATCCTTGGGAAGAGCAACATGGTATACTACCTTAGACTTAGCTTCAGGATACTGGCAGTTTAAGGTCAGGGAACAGGACAGACCCAAAACAGCATTTATTACGAAATATGAATTATATGAATTCAATGTAATGCTATTTGGATTGTGCAATGCATCAGCCACCTTTCAACGAGTTATGAATGATATATTACGAAAAATAAAAGAAAAATTTGTACTAGTATACCTTGAGGATATCATCATATTTTCTAAAAGTTATGACGAACATTTGCAACATTTCCAACAGGTTTTCAATTTATTAAAAGAAGCTCAATTGAAAATAAATCCAGAAAAATGTCATTTCTGTACAAACAAAATTCAATTTTTGGGACATGTAATATCAGGACAAGAGATACAACCTGATCCAGAAAAAATTGAAAAGATCATCAACCTCAACACTTCATTCAATGTTAAACAATTACGAACTGTATTAGGATTATTCTCTTATTACTGACGTTTTGTTAAAAATTATTCTAAATTGGTAGTCCCATTGAATGATTTGCTGAAAAAGGATGTGCCTTACAATTGGACAAAACAACATCAAGAGATTTTTGAAATACTCAAGGAAAAATTGACGACTGCGCCAATCTTATTCTATCCTGATTTCAATCAATCTTTTATATTAAGTACTGATGCAAGTACTACAGGATTAGGTGCAGTACTTTCACAAA